TTTGAGCATTTTTCAAGGGTTAAAGGTATATGCAGATAAACTAAATCTGAATGACAATAAATTAGTCGAAAAGCTTCTAATTAACCCAATTTTATTTGATGTTGATAAATCAAACCCTCGAATTAAAAGCGAATTTGATAGTAGTTCTTTGGTGAATAAATCTTTTTTTGATTATAGAAATAATTATAAACCTTGTATTAGAGATATGAATAATCAAAATAGATCAAGTTTCTCAACTAATTCACAAAGTTCAATTAGTATAGAAGTAGATAGTGAGGATGAACGTATTCTATTGAATCCAGAATTTCAAAAAGAAATAGAAAATGTTCAGAATAAAACAGAATGTTATCGTATAGAAAATTTAAATAAACAAAAACATATCCCTTATAAAACAAATGAAGAAGTCAGTTATATTATAAATGAAGTCAATGTATCTGAAAATATGACAGCTTTTATCGAAGTAAAAAACAAGTTTTACATAGATCATAATGATAAGTTCTTATATATTCAATTTAGACAAAATTTATCAGGAATATTTCAGAAATGTAAATTGGCAATAAGTGAATTAGAAGAAAATATTTTTTGTAATAGAATCGATAATAATCAGTTTTCAGATAAAATTGAAGAAATTCAAACCTTAGTTAAAGAATTTAATATAATGTTTTATGAAAATTGGATATCTGAACTAAATAAATTAGAACTATATAGTGATATATTTGACGATATGATTGAAACATTTAAAAATCTAAAAGGTAATTTATAGATCTAGACAAAGCAGATAAAAAATTGATTGAATCTGTTAAAAGTAAAATTGAAAATGATTATATAAAAATTGTTGAGGACTTCAATACGATACAGGAGAAAATGAAGAATTAGGAAAATAAAGCAGGATTTCAAACGTTAAAAGAATTGTTAACAAATTATAATAAAATAACGAATTTAATCACAAGATCTATGGAGTATCCTAAGATATTAACAAACTTGAATCTTGAATCAAAGAAATTAATTGACCTATTTATTCAAGATTGGACTAAAATTAAGAGAAAAATTGGTACTAGATATGATGATGATGTCAAAACATTGACAATAATATGTCAGAATTAATACCTAATGATAGATTCGTTGCACTTAGTTGTCTTTCAATTATTTGGGAAGGACTAAGTAATAATATTAAAGAAATTAAAACAAAAATTTGTGACAATTTTCAAACTTTACAAAATTCTTAGCAAAATGAAAGCGAAAAGTATAAAGAAAACTTCCCAAGTCAAATAAATAAAGCTAATCAATTAATTAGTATAGTTGAAATGAATTTTAATATTAACTTTTTTGATGAAGCAGAGAATTTACAATCACTTGAAAATAATTTAAGCCAAATTTTAAAAGAGATTAAAGAACAGGATATATATAACCAAGGTTAACTTTAATTATTAATCTTAAAGATAAATTTACATGGGGTTTGTTTACTCCGAAACCACAAAAAAATTTAAATTTTATGAGATTAAATCTTCTTTTTTGTGTGATAGTACTTAGGCATTAAGGTGTTTGGTCACTATACTAAATCAAACAGATATATTATTGATAACCAAAACTTTGAACTCTCGTATCAAAATTTCAATATTTAAGATATAATGTAAAATTTTTTTTTTTTTTCAGTATTAAGGTGAGGTCTTGCCTCGTATCTTTATTAGATGTTAAATTTTGCCTTATATGGCTACATATAATCTCAAGAATACTGGCTTAGACAATTTTATCTACGACCTAAACCTACCAGAG